ACTCGGCGCTCTGGCCGGGAAGGGTCGACCTCGACCTCCTCAAGCTCTGAGACCGGCTGAGCTCTGAGTTTCCCGTCCTCATACTTAGATAGGTCATGTTCGATGGCATTGATCCTCATATCGCTCCTTCCGTGATCCTTTCAGGCTCTCACATATCAACTTCTGGCCATCTTCTCGTCTCCTCTTACTATGCCAATCCCAGTTAGAGTGTAGAACTTCATGCACAGATGAGCCTGGGAAATAATGGCCCCCAGGTCTTCCAATAGAGGTCTGCCCAGGATAGCCTTGTGCACGCTAGGTAATTGGACAACGATGAAATCCGCTTCAATTTCCCGCACGCAGGGCACCGATCCAAGCTGGATCTTGAGGGTTATCATACCCTTGGGCTCAATGGTGTCTCTCGTGAAACCCGAGAGGGAGTTCTTACCTGTTTGAGAGCCCCCTTCTGGAGTCCGACTTCTAGGAAAGCATCCATGTAATGTATGTTGACCGAATTGCCATTGTCATCCAGTACCCTATGAACAATTGCGTCCATGACCTCCATCTTGATCACTAATGCATCCCTATGTGGTGGGGGACATGGGGGAGATCATCATCCGTGAAGGTTATAGACTCACGCTTCTGTTTCTTGTCAGCAGGAAGACGACTAATTTCGCCGACGAACAGTTGCGATTCCATTTCTTCCTTTCCCCCGCTGTATCCCCTCTCACAGGTCCGCCGTAAATCTGGTTGACGTGTGGTAGTTTTTGCCTACCAGAATCTTCCCCTTCATCGTCATCTTGAAATTGGGCCCCGACCTCCCTTTTCTTCGAAGATGAGGCTGACGCGTCCTTCTTCCTGTTCCGGGTGTGTTTCTTTGGTGGATGATATCTCTGCTGGGCTTTCTTCACAAATTGCTCCAGTTGACCCTCTTGTACGAGCCTTTCCACGTACTTCTTTAGAATGTAACAATCGTCAGTCTGATGAGAGTCACTCTTTTGGATCTTGCATTATTTGTTTTTGGGGTTCTGATTGTGGATAATATTGCACCCCTCAGGGGCGGTGATCAACCCCTGCTTCACAGCGTAATCCAAGACAGTACTCACCTGATGCGCGGACGGAGAAATATTTGGTTGGCTGGCTAGTGGCCCTTCAGGAACACCTAATTTGCCTTTTCCCCAGCCCTTCTTCTTTCTGGATCCATCCCCCTTGTCCGAGTCGTGGCCTCCTTTCTCCATGGATTTCTTCTTTTCGCCCTCAGATTGGCGCTTCCCGATCTCTTCTTCCTTCTTTTTCCTCTCAGCCTCCTTTACTCCGGCCTGAGCATTGGCACGCTGTAGGGCTTCCTCGTGTGAGGTTGGAGGGTTTCACACAAAATCTTTATATAACTCATCCGACCTCAGGGCATTGGTGAGTATAGCGACAACGGACTTGTCATCCAGGTCATCTATCTTTACTGATTCATCCCTCCACCAGACTAAGAAATCAGCTAAGCTCTGTTGGGGTCCCTGTTTGATCCCTAAGAGGTGAGAGAAATTCTTCTTGGAATCCTTGGAGCTGGCGAACCGGGTCACAAAAGCATGGGCCAACTCCCTGAAGTTCCGGATCCTTCCATTAGGCAGGGAATCATACCACTCTCGGGCTGGCCCTTCGAGCGTCACCGAAAACCCCCTACACTTGATGGGGTCTTCATATACCATCATCACCATGTACGCCACATATCTAGAAACATGGTCTTGTGGGTCTGTCTTCCCCCGGTAGGCCTCTATATTGCATGGTCTGTATCCTTGGGGTAGCGGAGCATCCATGATCTGACGAGTGAATGGTTCGGGAATCCTTACCTCATGGTTAGGGTTGACTCTGGCGTCCACTTCCCTCCGGAGCTCGTCTAGCCTCCTCCTGAGATCGTCGTTGCCATGGCCCGCTCGCGGCCAAGGTGGGGATCAGCGATTCCCGCGGCCCTGTCGGTTGGCGTTGATCTCGTTTCTGAGATCTCCCCCACGCACGCTGTGGCGGTGGGACGAAACGGCCGAGGACAATGCCTCCCCACTCAGCTCGGGTCGGGATGAGATCCTGTCATGCACGGAGACTCTCTGCTCACTGACTCGGTCCATCACCGAGGTCCTCGGGGTTGGCCTGGAGCGATGAGAGTGTTGAGATCGGGACGACAGAGAGCCCCTCCTAGATTGCTCATGCCTCTCCTCCTCCTGCTGGGGCATAGATGGAGCCCGGTGAGGGAAGGGGGCCTCGTATTCGCATTAGGGATGATACCATGGAAAGCGGTGATCAGAGTCTCCACTGCCTTTTGGAATGTTGCCAAACTCGCTAAGGCCTGAGCCGGATCAACGTTGGGGATACAATTCCCAATGCCTGGAGTCTGGAACTGCGGTGGTCGCGTCACTGTTCGTCTGGAACCTCCAACGCCCTGGAGATAGTTTCTCAGATCCTCTTGTCCTGCCGCGTTGTCGTTACGCCTCCGGAAATCACTCCGTCATGACCTATGATGGATAGTGTACCCGGGGGGTAGCTTATCCGAGGGGTTATTGTGGAGAATAACTAGAGAGAAGTCAGAGCAAATAAGTAAGAGAGAGAGTGTATATTCGATATGTATTAAGCGTATTTCACTTGGATTACAAATGGGGAAATGGGGCGCTATTTATAGTAGTAATAAATTCCAGATAGGGACACGTTTCAAGCATCCATTGGCCGAGGGGTCACATCAACTGGTTGGCGCTGGCAATCGCATGTGGCCGCATTTAATGTGGCTGTTGGATGTGACGTCGTACTTGGTACGGTGATCCAGGCGCATGTGGAGTGGATATTATGTCGAGAAAGGTGCCCTCGGCTGTAGGTGATTAGCCGAGGGCTCTGAGTACCGGGGACCTCCCTAGTGCCGAAGGCTCTACGTGCCGAGGGCTACTGATTTTCGCCGTTTTCTCCCAGTGATTCTGTTCTCTTGAGTGGGCCATCCTGTGAGAATCTGGGGCCTTCGGCCAGGGGGGCGAAGGCACTCCCAGTGTGCTACGTGGGTTGCTCAGTTCTTGGGCGCTGTGTTTTGGGCCTGCCATGCTCCCTGAGCCTATTGGGCCTTTATCAGAATAGTAGGAGTCTATGGGTCGGGGGTTCCTGGGCCATATACTCCATCAGGAGTCCCTCACTCCTTTTGCCGAAACGTACTTGAGGGAAAAGGAGTAATCTGTGTTTGTTCTTTTGGTGTTGTTCCGTTGTAGTTTGGGAAGTTTGTGAGTAGTTTGTTGTGTGCATGTTTCAGTCGAGGGCAGTCTCTCAGTTACCCACAGTCCGGGACTTGAGGGATCATGCTCGTTTGTTGTGGGAGTTTTTGACATTTTTTGTATTTTGAGATTTTCCCGACGGGGTCCTCCAGTCCCCCACTCCTTGAGGCACTTGCAAAGTGGTGAAAAGGAGTAGTGTAGCGCCTGCTTGCAATATAAAGCCGAGAGGTGACGCTTTTCATTTCATTTTGGGGGGATGCCTCGTTAAAAACCCCATTGGAAAAAACCCTGTGGGAAAAAATTCCAATGAGGGAAAAAGAGTGCACCGAATTCCCCCAATGATACGTCGAAAAGGTGAAATCCCGGTTTGAAATGAGTGGCAATATTTTTGCCGAAGGCTATCCCTATCCGAAGGCGCGTGTGTTGATTTACCGAAGGGTCCATGTCGTTATCCTGAGCGATGCCGAAGGGGGAGCCCCCAAATTATGAGAATGAGGGCGCGGTGAATGTGGATGATATTTCCAGTGTTGTTGAGGGGTCCCTTGTTTGTTGGTGAGTGGAGGGCGCCTTTTGATGAAGGCGTGCTCCCCCGGGGGCTTCATGGTCCTCAATGTGTTTGAGGGTTGATGGTTCCCAAGGGGTGTGCCCGTTATGAAGCCGTGGGCTTCTGAAGGAGTGAGCCCGAAGGCCTTTGTGATGTAGTATGAGGGGCATAAGCCGGGAGCATCTCTGGAGAATGCCCGAGGGCTAGTTTCTTGGCTGATGAAAGGAGTGGTCTGCCGAACATAGCCGGGAGCTCCCAGAATATAGCCGTTGTAAATAGAGTCGTTAGAATTCCTAACGTCAGAAATATAGCCGTTGGGGGAGGGCTTCCACGTGGTGTGCGTTCGTTGGCTGCTTGTGGGCGAATGTCACCGATTGGGCAATTCGACGGTCCGTAATGATGGCTTTTCAACCGGAGGCCCGGTTCCCAGCTCAAGCTCGGATCTGTGGCGCCTATAAATACCCAAGGCCAGAGGACTTACCCCTTGTGCGATCATTGTTGTTAGCGGAGCTCTGCAAAATTTTCTAGAGAGAGAAACTCCTGCCCTTGATTCCAAGGTCAGTTCCCCACCCGTCCTTCACCCTTCTTAGCTAGTTGTGCTTAGTGGCCTTAGATTTAGGAGTTGTAGCTTAGAGCACTTAGCATCTCCGAACCCTCGACCTAGTGTAACAATGTCTTCACAAAGCAATTCTCAAGACATATCGAGGGAGCCCTCGATGGAAGAGGAGAGCTTCTAAGATGTGTGGGGTCCTCGAGCGAGCAACCCTCGGCCCAGGAGGATGCCGCGATGGCCATGGAGGTACAGAAGGACCTTGTGGCTGAAGTCAAAGCTGAGGACTTCGAGCAGGTGAATGAAGACGAGGAGATGGCCCTCGCCGTTCAAGTTGCGAAGGAGGAGGAGCAGAGGGAGAGAATGAAGGTCACCATCGCTATGCCCCCCCCTCGTGGTGCTGGTGAACAGGAAGCTCTCGGCCCCTTAACCCGACACCCTTAAGGGTGGCCCCCAGGAATAAGCAGGACAAGAAGAAGGCCGCTTCCAAGAAGAAGGACATGGCTACTGATCAAGGAAGGCCCGTTGATATGCCCGAGGGGTACTCTTGGCTGAACACTGCTGCCCTCGAGATAGGATCGAAGGCTGACCGGGAGGATCTCTTTGTCACCCAATTGCATGTGGGGCCTTCAGCCGTAGTGGTGGCGCCGGGTCCTGATGATGTGCTCTCCCGGGCTCCCGAGGGTTGCATCGTCGTCCACATTCTGTCTGTTTCGATGGGTCTCCGGTTCCCCCTGCACCCATTCCTTCGGGAATACCTCAGGTACGTGGGTTTGGTCCCCTGCCAATTGACGCCCAATAGCCACTCGTATGTGGTGGGCTTTCTGAACCTCTGCCGGTCCCGAGGGGTGACCCCCAGCCTGGATTTGTTCTTCCAGAGCTTCAACCTCTGCCGGGGGGGTCACGCGAATGCCGAGGGCTTCGCTAACCTGCAGCAGATAGCTAGGTGGAAGCTATTTACAGAGGCGCCTTCGTCAAATAAAGGCTGGAAGGAGTGGTGGTGTTTCGTCAGAGTGGACGAGAGCCCATTCCCGAGGAAACTTCGGGATCGCTTCCGTCGCCATCCGAAGGATGGAAATGCCGCTCTCGAGAAGGATGGCCTGATAATAGCCAAGATTCCGGAGGGTCGCACGAAGAATGTGTCTATCAAAGACTACACCCTCGACGAGGATCTTTACTCCCTCGGCTTCCGGAGATATCGCTTCCTTGGGGAAACGGACGAGAAGTACCCTGAGTTGGACAAAGCCTTCGAGGGAGCAGGAGGTAGTAGTCGATGGCTCCCCGTTTTGCACTTAGGAATTTTTCCTTCTTCTTTTTTTTTGTTCACGCTTTTTTTTACCCTCGGTGTAATTGTTTTTTGTCATTTGCAGGCGTGAAAATGGACGCAGGCAAACTTGTTTCTCTGAAGAAGAAAAAGGGCAAGGCCCAAGCCCAAAAGAAGGACCCTTCGGTCCAGCATCCCGTTGAGGCTTTTTTTCAGAAGGAGGCAACTCAGCCCTCCGTTGCGGCTGCCGTTGCTGGCGTGGCCGAGGTGGCCTCAAAGAAGAAGAAAATCAGTAAGGCAGCAGAGCCCCCTGCCAAGAAGCAGAGGGGTCCCGGGGATATTGCTGGCCAGGAGGCCCCCTTGGTGATCATAGAGTATCGCCCCTCTCCTGATCCCCCGGTTGGTACTGTGGCGATAGCTCAGACTGATCTTCCCCCCGGGAAGCTTCCCCTGGGAGATTCTGCAACTCTCCTTGGCCCCGGGGGCTTCTGTGATGCATGGCTCAGCAGAGCCGAAGGCCTTCCTGAGGGGGATCACCTCGGCGATGGACAAGGCGGCCCTCTCGACTTATGACGATGAGGCCCTCGAGAGCAAGATCTTTCGCTCTTCACTAGCTGTAAGTTTTCTCCCTTGCTTTTGTGTTAACTTTTGATGCATTTCCAATACTTATGTAACCCCTCCGCCTGTTGTTTATCAGACTTGCATAGCCCTCGGGGAGCATGCACAGAGGCTCGAGCAATGGCACCTCCAGAAAGCGGAGCAGGATCGGGAGATGAAGGAGCTTGTCCTGAAGAACTCCGATGCCGTAGAGCAGATGGCCCTGCTGGAGGAAGATCTCCGGAAGGCTACCGAGGGCGCTGAGCAGAAGATCAAGGCTGCCATGGAGGAGGCCAGGCTCGAAGCCGAGAGGGTTGCCGCTGAGGCCTTCAAGAAGGCTGCCGAGGAGGCAGAGTCTGCCAAGGCCGAGGCCATCGCCAAAGCCCGAGAGGATGTTGTTGCTGCATTCATGGCCGAGGGGTGGAAGACCGAGGGGCGGCAGCAGTGGGTGGCCTCGGTTGTCGAGTCTTCGGTAGATGACTGGGTGAAGGGCCCTGGGGCCGACTGTATGGCAGAGAGGGGAGATAGCTACTATCAAGGGGGGTGAATTCTTCACCCAGCATCTAGTGTACCAGAGGCTCGCTAGGCACTTCAACGTCTCCCTCGAGGAGTTTAACCCCTCGGCATATGGCCTTCCTCCTCTGCAGCCGGATGTAAGAATCCCCCTCCCCCCAGGAGAAGAGAGGCCGGTGATCCATGATTCCATGATGATGGGGGGATCCGGCGATGGTGATGTCGAGGCTGTTGTCGGGGAAGAGGTCACCTCGAAGCCCGCTGAGGAGACGAAGGCTGAATGAAATTTGTACTTAGCGGAATTTTGAACTTTTTTGTAATGAATATCTGTATGCTTTCGGCCTCGGCCATTCTGTAATACACATTTCAACTATTCCTTCCTCTTGATGAATGAATGTCTGCCTTCGGGCTTTTGCACCTAATTTTCTTTCCTTTGAATGTTTTTCTTTGAATGTATGCCTTCGTTTTCCTTGAATGTATGTCCTCGTATTTCTTTGTGAATGAATGTATGTTAGTGCGGTATTCTGGCCGAGGGGCCAATTTTTAGGACTTAGAAAATATTTCTCTAAGCATAGTGCCTCCTGTAGCCCTCGGCTACTAGGCCCGTTTAGTCATCTGAATATCTCACCGAGGGCCCAACGTTCGGGACTTAGAAATCTTTTCTAAGTGTTGTTCATCTGTTGGCCCCCGGCTAATTCCTTCCCTCCGGTTCTATGTAGCCTCCATGAGATAACCGGAGGCAAGGCGCTTAGGACTTAGAAAATTTTTTATAAGTGTTTGAATACTGTCTGGCCTTCGGTACATGGGCACCCTTTGCTGCATGGATATATAACTGAGGGCCCAAAATATTTAGGACTTAGAAAATATTTCTAAGTGTAGTTTCACCAAGCCTTCAACCGTGTGGCCCCTCTGGCTGCATGGAGATTTGACCGAGGGTCAAAAATATTTAGGACTTAGAAAATATTTCTAAGTGTAGTTGTATGTGGTAGGAGCCTTCGGGTGAAATGTGAGAGCCTTTTGTAGGAGTGCCTTCGGTTGACCGGTGGCTCGACAGGGGGCAAGTATTCAGGACATAGGAAAAATTTCTCTAAGTGTTGTTTAGTATCACGCCTTCGATCACTTGCCCCTCCTGGGCATGAGAATACGTGACCGAAGGCCAAATATGTAGAACCTAGCAAAAACAATTTTTCTAAGTGTTGTTTTGCTGAGTCTTCGGCTGCGCAGCCCCTCCGGCTGTCTGAGGATTTGACCGAGGGCCAGGATGTTTAGGACTTAGAAAATTTTTCCAATTGTTGCTTGTCATCTGCCCTTCGGCCTACGCCTTCTCTTAGTAGTATTGAACAGCTTGGCCTTCATTGCATGATGGGTTGGCTGAGGGCCAACCATCTAGGTCTTGGGACATTTTCTATATTTCATGGTGAATAGACCCTTCGTTTTGTAGTATCCTGAGTAAGAGATCCCTTGATGGGTAGAAGTTTCCTTCGATCTTTGTTGATCAGGGGGCTGTAGGTGTCTTCGGCGTCACGTGAAATGTTGTTGAGTGAACCTATCAAGTTCTGCGTGATTTGAACCTTCGGTTTTTTATGTATCCGGAGGCACTCAAATAGTGGACTTAGCCATTTGTTGATGATACTTGTTGAATAGTATCCTTGGTAATTAAAAGCTTCCAGGTGTCGAAGGTGTTCCTGTGGGGAGCCCTCGGTATGTTTCCGTGAATTGTTGGAGTGGTGTACTCATTGATCTCTCGCTGAGTCTACTCCCCTTCACTCCCTCGTTTTTTTGTTGGTAGTGAAGGGAAGGCTTCAAGAAACTTGGTTTCTTGGCAAGGCTTGGCCTATCGGGAGGTAATAGAATACACCATTAGCTCCCCCCTCGGGTTAACCTTCCGAGTTCCGAGGGGATCGAGGGTCGTTTCCTGGGCACAAGACATGGTCTGTAGCCTGCCTCCCCTCGGGAGATGGCATGGAAAGCGCCTCAGTTTTGAAAGTCGTCCCCTCGGCGCCAGACATAGTCCGTGGCCTGCCACACCCTTGGGGTAGTGGTGCGGGGAGCGTTTCTATTTGGAAGTCGAATCCTGGGCATATTAGATGCCTGCCAATCCCTTGGGGAAATGGCGCGGAAAGCGTTCAGTTTTTGAAAGTCGAATCCTGGGCACATTACTTGCCTGTCATACCCTTGGGGCAATGACGCGGAAAGCATTCCAGGGAAGGGTTTTCATTTGCACACTGGTTGCAAATGGCCGGGGGCACTACGTGCTACCGGCAGCGAGAGGTGGTGCCTTCGGTATATTCGTCCTCGAGGGGTACGGCTTTAGAAACCATACTTGGTGTTTGTTTTGGTATACGGCCCCTGGTACTTGGTACCGAGGGGTCTTTTGTAAAAAACATTTGGTGTTTTTACTCATTTTTCGTAGGTGATTGAGGTGTATACCCTCGGCACTTGGTACCAGAGGGCCTTTAAAGGAAACACTTGGTGTTTTTCTTCCGTTTGTTGAAAGTTGATAGAAGTGTATCCCCCCGGTATCGGGTGCCGAGGGGTCTTCTGTAGAAACACTTGGTGTTCCCTTCTACGCTGTGGGTGGCAGTATAGTCTACCCTCGGGTTCTTTCTTGTGATCGGCCTTGGGCCAGGGGTTTATATGAGGACTTGGCCGCTCATAAGAGTCTCATTCCATGTTCTTGGTGTCTTCAATATGCCTTCATTCTTCAAAAAATTAGAGGCCTTGGACCGTGAAATAATACATTCACTACATATGAGGGCTTGGCCGCTCTAATGTTATTGATAAAATTTAACTAAGTGATGTACATTCCAGTGTCTAGGGACCTCAGTCCCATTGGGGCGTTTTAGTTTGTAAGTTCCTGGTTTGATGATGGCCGCCACGATGTAGGGGCCTTCGAACTTTGGTGCCATCTTTCCGCCCTCGGTTGGTTGGCTAGCTTCCCTTCTTTGGAGGACATAATCCCCCACTTGGAATTCCCGGGAGCGGACTTTGGCGTCAATGTAACTCTTCACTTGCCTTCGGTAGTTTTCCGTGTGTATGAAGGCTTGCTCTCGGCGTTCTGAAATAAGGTGAAGGTCGAGGGCCATATTGGCGTCGTTGACCTCTGGATCATATTGTGTGACCCTTCGGGTCAGAAGAGTTACCTCACTGGGGGCCTTAGCTTCAAATCCATAGCAAAGGGAGAAGGGTGTCTCGCCTGTTGCTCGCCGAGGGGTGGTACGGTAGGCCAATAAGATGTTGTGGAGCTCTTCTACCCAACCACCCCCTTCGGCCTCCAGTTTCTTCTTTAGGCCCTCGAGCAAGGTCCTGTTGGCGTTCTCCACTTGACCGTTGCTTTGAGGGTAGGCAACGGATGAGAAGACGTGTTTGATGCCCCATGCCTCTAGGAGGGAACAGAAGGGGGCTGCCACAAACTGAGTCCCATTGTCGGAGATGATTTGCTGGGGGACGCCAAACCTTGTGAGGATGTTCTTGAGGACAAAATGACCGCACCTGGCCTCAGTAATGCTGACGAGGGGCTCAGCTTCCACCCATTTGGTGAAGTAGTCGATGGCGACGATGATGTACCTGTTGTTGGAGGTACCCCTCGGCAGAGGGCCCACAAGGTCTATGCCCCATCGAGCGAAGGGTATGGATGTGCTGATGGGGGCATAGTTGACCGCTGGTCTGCCAGGGGCTTTCTGGAAGTGTTGGCATTAGGTACACCTTCGGGCGAGATCTGCACAATCCCGGGCCATCGTAGGCCAAAAGTAGCCCTGTATTATTAGCCTTCGGGACGTGGAGAAGGGTCCCTGGTGAGCTGAACAAGTGCCACTGTGCACTTCCTCCATCGCCACTTCGGCTTCATCTTGATGAAGGCACCGAAGTAATGTCCCGTTGTACGATCTTTTGTAAAGCCTTCCATCCTCGATAGTGTAGCTGGGAGCTCTCAGCTTTGCCAGCTTAGCACGAGCCTCATCCTCGGGCAGTTGCCCCGTGGTGATGAAGGCGACAATGTCTGAGATCCAGTCTTCTTGCCTTTGTTGTATGTGCATGATGGGGCTAGCATGTATGCTGGAGAGGCTGAGCTCCTCGATCTTGGTAATCTTTGAGATATGCTCAGGGGATTCTGCCGAGAGCTTTGATAAAATGTTGGCCTCGGAGTTTTGAGCCCTTGGTATTTGAGTAAGAGAGTGTGCCTCAAATACCTTAAGCAACTCCTTGGCCGCTTCTTTGTATTGCTTCATTCTTCCTTCCTTGGCTTCGTACTCCCCGGAGATTTGGCCGACGACTAACTTGGAGTCGCACTTGACGTGAATCTGTCGGGCCTTCATGTTAGCTGCCAGCCGAAGGCCACAGAGGAGGGCCTCGTATTCGGCTTCATTGTTAGAGACTTTGAAAGAGAAGCGGACGACGTAGTAGGCCCGGAAGCCTTCGGGTGAGATGAGAACCACCCCTCCTCCACATGCTTTGACGGCGGAGGAGCCGTCGGTGTAGAGGGTCCACTAATCGTCTGAGGGGGCCGAGGGCTTCTCGTCCGTGGCTGATCTTGCTGTACATTCCGTCACGAAGTCCGCTAGGGCTTGGCCTTTGATGGCGGGCCTAGGACGGATGTTGATGTTGTATTGGCTCAGGAAGACAACCCATTTTACCATTCGGGAGGAGCTGGTGGGGCTCCTCATCAAAGCGCCGAGGGGTTGGTGAGTGAGGACCTGGACTGGGTGAGCTTGGAAGTAATGGCCCAATTTCTTGACCGCCGAGCTATTTTTTCAGCGTCTTTCTCGTGCATAAAGATTTGATGATACTCGCGGAATGCGTCGAGAAATGACATGATTTCACACCCTGCGGTTTCATCTACAAGTTGATCAATATTTGGAAAAGGAAAGGGGTCCATGGGACACACCTTGTTGAGATCCGTGTAGTCCACGCACATGCGGAATGAGGGTGGTTTTTGTGCGAGGACTACGTTCTCCAGCCATGAGGGGTATTTTACCTTCTTGATATGCTTGATAGAGAGGAGCATGGTGACCTCCTTCTTCACAAATTCCCTCCTCTCGGCCGAGAGGGGCCTCCTCCGTTGTTGTACTGGTTTAGCCGAAGGGTCCACCGAGAGGCGGTGGGTGATGACCCTTCGGCTGATCCCCAGCATGTCCTCCGGCCCCCATGCAAAAACAATGGAGTAGGCGCGGAGGGTGCTGATGATGCCGGTCTTCAAGTCTTCGGGGAGCTGGGCTCCAATCTTCACGACTTCCTCAATTGGTTCAGTCCTCGGTCTCCTTTCTTCCGCTTCCACAGTCCCGGTGATGGTGTCAACGCAGAGC